CAGCAGTGCTCCGCCACCCAGCTGCCTCCTTCCTCCGTTTTCCTCTCACTTGAGTATTTTGCTACTCAAAATATGGTTCTCAGACCAGCAGCACTGGCATCATCTGGGAACTTGTGAGAAATGCAGAATTTCAAAGTCCACCCCAGACCTACTGAAATGAACCTGCCTTTTCACAAGATGCCAGATGGTTCCCATGTGCGTTAAGGTGGGAAAAGCACTGTTTTAATAGGAGGAGGAAAAGGAGGCCAATTAGTGCAGGAAATTTAACACATACCCCACCTCTGAAGAAATCCAGAGCTGACCCATATAAATAAAATTAATTCTTCCCAACTGATGCCCAAGGTGCTCTTCATGTGACAAAGTTTCAACTCCTTGCTAATTTTTACAAGTTTTAGAAAAGGACCCTTCTTGAATGGTAAAGCAGGTGCCTGAAGACAGGAATGGGTAGAACCAACCCTGATTCTCAATCCACCTGTATTGTCTACATTTTTATTGAAGGAATAATCACACTGAAGAGTCTCTGTTTCTAGAAAGACAATGTGAGCTTGGACATTCTGAGCTCCCACAGGCCATCCCCAGGTCCTAGTCACCTGGTCCCATCACAACATGGCAGCTGACTTCTTCAAAGCCCCAGGGAGAATCTCCCTCAGGAGCCAATCTCTAGGAGCCGAGGTTCTCAGTCCTACAACCACAAAGACCTGAATTCTGCCAAAAAGCAGTGAGTTTGGACGAGGACCCCAGGCCTCAGATGAGATGGCAGCCCTGGCCGCACCTTGATTTTGGCCCCTGAGATCCAGGGCAGGGAGCCCAGCTAAGCTATGCCCAGATGTATGACCTACATATTATGTGAGATAATAAGTAAGTGCTGTTGTAAGCCACTAAGTTTGTGGCAATTTGTTAACACAGCAATGGAAAACTAATTCAGATTTTGGTACATGGACGTGAGATGCTGCTGTAATAAGTACCTAAAATGTGAGAGTGGCTTTGGAATCGGGCAGTGGGTAAAAGCTGCTAGAATTTTACATAGCATGATACAGCCTAGATTTCCTTGAACAGACTGTTAGTGGAAATACAGATGTTAAGGATGTTGAAGCTGAAGGATTAGAACGAAGTGAAGAACATGTTATTAGAGACTGAAGAAAGGGGATCTTTTTATATAGTGGCAGAAAGCTTAGCAAAATTGCCTCCTGCAGTTATGGAGAATCTATAAGGGATGAACCTAGTTATACAGCTAAGGAGATTTCTGAACAGGGCTAAAGATGCCTGGTTTCTTCTCGCTGCTTATTGTAAAACACAAGAGGTCAGAGATAAACAGAAGGAAAACTGTTACACAAAAATTAAGTAGGACTGAATTATTTAGAAAATCAAAATGGTGGCTGAAAGTGTGGTACAGAGAAAAGGCTGAGGGTGTGCCCATACATTCTTTTGTGGAAACCTCAGAAAGACCACGTCAGAACATTCAGTCTCACAAAGGGCCCTTGCAAGAGGTTAGGGGTGTGGGCACTTGCCACATCTTCTCAATTAGCCCAGGGGCAACAAGCCCTTAAGGTCATATCTTTCAGCCACCTTAACAGGCCAAGAGAGAAAAGGGATGCATTGGGTAAGGCTTCTTTCTAGTGGGGAAAAAGAACAGTGAATCTATGCAAGACCCACAATGTTCCTGAGAAAATGATTTCAGCAGAAATTCTGCCAGCTTTGACTAAAAGGGACAGAGAGAGGACAAAATGAAAGGACACTATTGGACACCCCCCAAATTCTAGCAGGAAGCAGGCTAGCAAACTACTCTGCTGCAAAGAGGTGTTACCTTTCATAAAAAAGGAAGGATGACAGGAGGGTGGAACCATGTGCCCAAAGAAAGACCAGGTCTTGAAAGTGAATCAAAAAAAGCCAAACATTTACCTGGTGGAACTTCAAAACTATTATGGATCAGTGACTCCTTTTGACCTTTATTTTCCTTTCTTTGAGACAGAAAGTCTAGAACCATTATCTTATGCCTTCCTACCACTGTCTGTTGTGAGTGTTGGGCAGATAACTGGTCTTTTCAGCTTCACAGGTCCGCAGATGGAGTAGAAATGTGCCCCAGGAGCTGCACCTACTGGATGACACCCAGGAGCCACATTGTACCTGCACCTGATTTAGATTTTGGGCTTTCACCTGATGAAAATTTTGACTTTGAACTCATGCTGTAATGAGCTGAGACTCTTGGGCACCTTGGGAAAGTGTGAATGTATTTTGCATGTGGAAAAGTCGGGAACTGCTGGGGACCAGAGGGCAGACTGTGGCAGGCAGAATTCTCAGATGAGCCCTGAGATTCCTGCCTCTTGGTACATGCCCTGTGTAATCCCCTCCGTTTGAGTGTGAACAGGGCCTGTGAATATGATGGGACATCACTGCACTGAAAGACTTTAGTGGATGTAATTAAGGTCCTTCATCGGCTGATATGTGAGTTCACAGAAGGGAGATGATCCTAGGTCAACCTGACCAAATCACGTGGGCCTTTAAAAGACATAAGAATCAGCAACAGACACTTTCCTACTGACCTTGACAAAGCAAACTGTCATGTTGTGGAGGCCCAAATGGCAGGGAATGGAAAGTAGCCTTCTAGAGCTGAAGTCCTCAGTTCTATGGCCAAAAATAAGCAAATTCAGCCAACAATCAGTGAGCTTGGAAGAGGACCCTGAGTCCCAAGTGAGATCACAGCCATGGTTGACACTTTGATTGCAGTTCTGGGGGACCCTGAGGAGAAATCCAGCCAAGCCATGCCTGAACTTCCCACCTACAGAAACTGTAAGATAATATATTTAATGTTTTAAGCTGCTACATCACCAAACTCCAAAGCAGCTATTACAAATACATTCAAAGAATTAAAGAAAACTATATTCAAAGAACTAAAGAAAAATGTGCAAACAATGAGTCAATATAAAGAAAATTTCAACAGAGAAACAGACTACAAATGTATATTCTGAATTGAAAAGTACAGTATCTGAAATAAAATGACTATATAAGCTCACCAGCAGGTTTGAGATGGCAGAAGAAATCAGTGAACTTAAAGATATATCATCAGAAATTATCCAACTTGAAGAACAGAGAAAGGGGAAGAAAAAGTATGTAAAGAAATAGTGGCTAAAGCCTTCCCAAACTGATTTTTAAAACATTAATTACCTTCCAAAAAGCTCAACAAACCCAAAGTATGATAAAACATAGACCACATGTAGACATATCTTAAAATGCTGCAAGACAAAGATAAGAGAAAATCCATAAAACAGCAAGAGGAAAATGACTCATCACATACAGGTAACAAAACAATTAACAGATGACCTCTCATTTAAAACAATGGCAACACTATGGCAGTGTAATCTCTGCTTCACAGTGCCCAAACACCTGTGAACTAGAATTTTATGCCCAGCTAAACTATCTTTCAAAAACCCAAAGACAGAATAAAAACATTCCCAAATAAACAAAAACTGAGAGAATTTGTTGCTAAAGACCTATCCTAGATAATGTACCAAAGAAAGTCCTCACACTGAATGAAAATGATACCATAGGGTTACTTAGATTCACAGGAAGTAATGAAGAGGAACAGTGCTGAATGTGCATGCATGTGCATGTGTGTGTATATATAACATATAAATATATAACACATATGATACATATTTTATATATATAATAAATATATAACACATTTATATACTATATATAAAAATTTTTCTAAATTTTTTCTCTTACTGTTTAAAGTAATAATTATAACATTCTATTATTGAATTTATAACATATATAGATACAATATGTGTCTATAACAACAAAGAGAAGGGAGTATGAAATGCAGCTGTACTGATACAAATTTGCTCAGTTTTACTGAAATTAACTTAATACTAAACTGAAGAATATTGTGATAAATTCAGGAAGTATATTATAATCCCTGAAGCAACCACTAAAAAGGTAACTAAAATATATAGCTAAGAAGTCAACAAAGGACATTCTTAACCAATTATGCAGATGAGGAAATGAGTCCTAGATGGGAAAATGACCTACCACAGCTAGGGTTGGCCCCCAAGACTCCTGACTCAACATACCAGAACTGGAGGCCAATTCACACCTTCTGAAGGGTCAGGTGGGGGACCCATCCAGGCTCTATCTCCTCACCCATCAATGATAGGAAAGGTTCTTTAAAAAATTGTAAACTGCTTCGTAGTCTGTGAAAATATTTCCCTTGACACCCTGAAAAATGTTTTTTTTAAATTATTAGTTTTTCCACCTTAAAACTTACTGCATATAAGCTAATGGCAGTAATAAGGGAGGTAACTTCCCATGCAAAGCTGATTGACAGCAGTGCCCAGTGAATGCACACTAAATGCACACGTAGCCTCCCTGCAGTCATTATGGATCTGGCGAGCATTACTTTTATGAAAGCCTGAACTGTCTTCCCACACCCTGGGAGGGGTTGACAACCTTTCATCAAACCCAAACTGACACTGCAGAGAGGGCAGGAGGAAGGGGGCAGGGCAGGACTTCTTAACTCCATGGCAGGTAGACTGGACATCCCACCTGCTTTACAAGGCTGGGCCCCACTGCACCTTACATTTACATTTATGAGAGAGCTGAGCTGTGCTGGAAGAGGTTCTTAACATATTCCTGCCTGCCAAGGAGTTTTTAATCTTAAAAGGATAAAAAAAACTGAATTACTTTATATTTACTTTTGAATAAACACCTACTTATGTTTATGGTGCTTCACATGTCTTAAATTGCATTTATGAAAATAGAAACTTAAAGAACTCATACTGTATGCCAGGGATTAAGCTAAGCCCTTCCTGCTCTATGTTTTTTAATCCTTGCAACTACACCATGAGCTTGGTTTCATTATTCACATTTTACAGAGTTGAGAGTGGTTAAAATGCCTCAGATTGACCCTAGCCAGGTTAGTGGGTGGTGTTCTCGGGTAGTTGTTAAACTGGATCCCTCAGAGAAGGGAATATATGTTAAAAAAAAAAAGAGCCTGAGGCACAAGTTGATATTTTTTTTAATCAACTGCACATGTGTCTTCATCTTTCCCATTTGATTCGTTACAAAAACAAAGATCTGCTATGTTTTCACTTTAAAAAAAAATCATTCATATTGACTTCATCAAGATCTCAGAAGAGGATCTGGGATCATTCCCAAATCAGAATTACTGAGGGAAACTTTAACAGCAGCTGCTGTAGCACAAATGCAACACGGAATTCAATTACCACATATTATTAGTGAACAACTTGAAAACTGAATTTCACATAGTACTTTAAGTTTCTCCCTGACTTTAATGTGTGGTAAAAATTTTAAATGACAGAAACATGTCATAAAGTCACAGTGCTAATTACTGGAAGTTGCAGCCACATCACAGCTAGGCTTTGTCAGATGTCCACCGTGTCGGGTGGAAGATCGGTAGGTCGCATTGTTCCTCTGAGATTCCAGCTTCGGCTGGTCCTCTTTGGCTGACATTAACGTTAACTAGCGTTTTGATTGAGGTAACAGCACATAACCAAATAGCACTCTTTTTTTAAAATAAACCTAGAGTATCTCACTGACCTCAAGGAACCCATACAATGTTCCTAGTGTCCATCTGTCTACACTGAGAAGAATCTAACCCAGTGTTTGAGGTATTATCAGTTTATGCAAAGTACATTACATAGTCTAATTTTCATCTTCCTACCTGGGAATCCTTGTAAATATCAAAATAAAATATTTACCTTTTTGATAGGAGGAATAAAAAGGCATGAAAGTAGAATATATACCTTGGTAGAAAAATACTTAAAGGTTTTAATGCTCTGAATACCAAAACCATTTTATGATTACCCTTTGAAAATCGGGTATTTGGGAATAATTTTAAAGTTCTGAAAATCAGTACAAAGCTTATTTACATTTTTACTAAATCCAACATCCCCTTCACAAATTGCAGAACGATTTCCTTATAAAAGCAGAGCAGCCAAGTTTTGGGTACTGTACTTAGCTCAGTCTCTGCTGGCCACAGAGTCCAGGGGCCCCCATGCCCTTCAACGGGCTCCTTGGCACAGTGACATTTCACAGCGTGCGTTCCTTGAAGAACCATTTCTGATGTTCAGAGTTGGTGCAGTCTCGTAAGCGTGGTACAAAACTGTCACTGAACGCCTTCCTCTCAGCCTGTACACATTTATTGGACTGCACGTGAAATAAAGAACCATCCTACGAAAGACAACAAGCACTGGATGTTTATGAGAATTACCAGCAATTCCTCAGAAAGTATCTTTTCCCCTAAAACATGTTCTTAACAGCTCAGGTGCTTTTCATCCCTTCAGAAACATTTATGGAGGGTTAAGTGTCTGCTTTATACAAAGGCAACTCAGAACTGTTCACGCAGAGGGCCAGGCATGGACGTACACGTGCCTCTCCTCGCTGGGTCCAGACTCCATGACAGGGTCGACGGTGCCACCTGCTGGCTGCTCTGGGGACCTGCCAGACCCCACATTTTGTCCCTACTGTTCTTTTCCTTCAGGGAAACCAGAGATCCTTTATGAATCTTTTTCAATTCTCTTAGGTCAACTAATTCCATCCCTGGCAAGCTCTGTCAATTATGTGCTTAAATGTAGAGTCAGGAAACGGCTTTAGTCCCAGCTCAGCCAGAGAACAGTTGGGTGAGGCGGCAAGTCATCTGACAGGAAGTGGGTTCTATGGACTGAACCAATTCCCAAACCCAGAAGACGATGATCCTCTTTAATACCTCCCATTTCTCTTCTTTTTCCCAACTGTTGCTGAGTTAACTGGACAAGTCTCTCCCCAAGTCCTGCAGTTTATTTTTTTCCCCTCCACTTCTGTTGCAAGTTGCACAATGCTAAGGAAGGTAATTGCAGCAAAGGGGCAGAACAAGTGGCAAACCCATTCCAGGGAAAGAGAAATCTTAGAAGTAAGATGACATGCAGAAGAACTGCAGTAACAGTAAGTCTGAAAACCTTTAAAAGTACTCACAGCTTGTCTGTAGAGTAACGTGAAAGTAAATAATAAAGGATCCCTCCTCCCACCCTTCTAAAGAAACGGACTTTTCCTTAAATGGTCACTGAAATTTAAGATAAAGTTTTAATAACCTTTCAAACCAAGTTCTTGATTTCTAGCTTGCATTACTATTCCTTGAAGGGCTTACAACAGCTTCCAGTTGGAAGAAAAAAGAGAAGGGGGAGAGCATTACAGAGTATCACAGATTTTGGGAGTTTGCAAAAATATTTTCCCTTTTTTAAATATCAGACAGCATTATGGTGCAGGCTTTTCCAGGTAGCCTGCAAATTTCATGCTAATCATAATATTTTCTACAGGAAAACATACTTCAACTTCTAATTATGCTTAAAATGAACCCATTTAAGAGCAGTATATGTGACTGTCTCCATCCCTGGGGCCAGGCTGGGAATGAAAGCTTCTCACAGAGATAAAAGAGAACTAATTTTTTTCCTTTTGAATTATTTTCTTTGGATTTATTCCCAGAGTACTTTTTAGTGAGTCAAAGGATTTGACGGATTCACGAGTCCCATCACAGGCTTACTGCAGATGTGATATGGCTCGCGCCTTTCAGGCCTGAAATAGTAACACCCAGTTCTAAATCAGGGCTCACTATTCTGATGGTGAGCCAACTCCATTAGAGATGTTTTCTAGATTCTTATACTGCAACTAACGACTAATCTCTAAAGAGGTTTATGCTTTCCAAAGAGCATTTCTGGCCATACAGCTAATTTTCACTAGAGGCAGACAAGGCTGCTATTACCATTCCCATTTTAGAGCTGGGAAAGGGAGGCCAAGAGAAGTGGAGTGGTTTTTATGTGGACCTGACCTCATGTCCTTACACTGGCTATTTGCTTCACTTGTTTAAACCCCATTTCATCTTCAAATGTGTTTGGGATGGCTCCTCTTCCCACTACAGGCCACTGCAGCTCGAGGTGGGGACGGAAAGACAAGGGGAAGACAGAACGGGGGTGGTTGGGGAGGAGAGGAGGGAGCAATGGTGCATGTGGCTGGGATCCAGCAGTCCTGCCACCACCAGGGGTCTCTGTGCTGTTCCTCGTGGCTGCATCCCTGAGACTTGCCCAGCCTGTGCCACACCGCATGCTCTATTTCTACTTTCAAGGCCTCCTCTGCAGCCCACAGGCCAACAGCAAGGAAGGAATGAGACAGCTTACTTACCTCCTGCAGCATGAACTTCTGATTTTCTGGGGCAATTTCTTTGCAGAGATCCATGATGAGCATATCCATTCCTGCATCCACAGCTATGCAGGCCTCCGGTTGGTGGGTGTTATAGCGTATTTCATTCTGGGATGTGTACTCAAAAAACTGAAAATGGAGCAGCCAACATGCATCAGTTAGCTTCTCATGTGGAAAGAGGGAAATCGGTGGATGACAACCTGGGGTCATAAGAGCATGGAGGCTGGGATCCAGCGCTCTCCCTCACCCAGGGGCACGAGCCTGTCTGATCCATCCGTCTGCTGCATGTCTGCACAGCTCTTGTGTACTACTTAGCAAGTGCAAATAGAGGGGGCTTTTTTCAGGCCCACATCACCTGCTTAGAGAGTGAGGGTGGGGCTGGTGCCTAGGTCACCCACACGCACTGTGCTAACCCATGCTGGGCAGAATGGCAGGCAAGAAAACGGGCCAGTTTCCATAACCAGGATTCGGGGTTCTCTGTGACCTTGACCAGACACACTTCCTTTCCTTTTCTTCAGTCCTTTCCTCTCCTCCCCACCAAGTAGAATGGATGCTACTATGCCTTGGAAACTATGAAGTGTGTGCACAAGCAGTTTCACGGGAGGACTTGGTTCTTCCAGAACCATGGTTTCCCCACTCTACTGTGCCCAGTAAAAATGCTGGTGCTGGGCCCCACACCTGGGAGGGAATATGATTCTTTCTGTCTGAGATGGGACCTGGGAAACTGCATTTTTAATATTTCTAACAAGACTCCCATCCCACCCTAGCAGCTTCCTTCCAGGAGATTCTGACATGGACACGGGCGGCAATTCTCACAGCACACAGAGCAGTGAGAATCTCCCTGAAATCTGGTTAAAACAAGAGACTGGGATTCAGGAGGGGTGGAAGGGTCTGGGCATTTGTATTTTTAAGTTCTCAGGTCATGCTGACAATACCAGTTGGGGACCACCTTTGAGGAGCACTCTTAAATGTGCTGAAGAACCCGAATAATTTAAAGTTGTAAGGGTCTGAATTATGAAAATTTACTGTTGACCCTAAGGGGGCTAAATACTCAAATGGAACTGACAGTGACTACAGGCTGGAAGGAAACTTGAACCCCCACCCTTTGGTCTACAGTGTCTGACAACTCTTAGAGCACTATGGCTCTGAAGGTCTAGAATCAACATTTTGTTCCTCTCCTCTGCTCTCCACCAGTCCTGCCCTGGTGAGTTTACACGCTCTCCTGGGCTGGGGCCCTGTTCTGGTCCTCAGACATTTCAGGACTGGCTCTCCTGCCCTGCGTGAAGTTCAGCACTTAGCCCAGACAGATCGACCATGCCACCGGCTGAGGCAACTGCTATCACCATTTGGCAGTGTGGCACTGAGCATCAAAACCCATCCTTCCAGTTAAGAATCAATTCTAAAGAAGTCATCGAGATGCGGATCTGTTGTTTGTCTGCCTTCTTTTTTTTTTTCTGACCAAATATGTGAGTGGCCAGGTTATTTATAATTGCAAAAACAGAGAGGCAGGGAATCAGTTAACTAAAGTAATATAGCCACATACAGGAATATCAAGAGGCCATTAGGAACGATATTCTCAAAGGATGTCTAATAACACAAGAAAGGTATGATGAGCTAGGGAGAAATAATGGAATGTAAAACATACAGACACTATGATAACAACTATTTAAAACACACTGCCAAAGGCCATGCATAAAAAAAGACGGGAAGTAAATATATCTTAATTATAACGGTGGTCATGCTGGATCTTGCCCTTCACTTCTTCCTTCTGCTTTTTGTCTCCCAAATGCTCTGTACTGAACATATATTACCTTTATAATGAAAACAAATCAAATAATCAATTTGTAAAAGGCAGATGGATTTCCCCTGATTTCACTCTTTCAAGGTCCATGCTCACGATCCCTTGAGCCAACAGCCTCCTGCTGTCTGTTGTCCTGGCCTGAGAATGTCAATCTGCTGAGAAGCAGTACCTACCTGGTTCTGGCCCATCCCATGACAGAGGTACAGGAGGACCTGATGTCCCACAATCTGGTGCTCATTGGGAGGGTTATAGTCAAAGCAGTAATCTTTCAGTCCTTTGTTCTGAAGCTAAACAAAACAGAAAGGGGCCATTGTGGTGCAGCTTTATACCCAACAACAGATCCCACCAAGGCTCTGAGGGAGGGAAATGGAATGAGAGGAGAGCCTGCCTCAACATCTCTAGCTCTAAAAGTGCTTCCCCATTCTCCACCACAGGCAGGAATCAGCTTCCCCTTCTCCACCACAGGCAGGAATCATAACCCCATTTTGAGATAAAACTTGAGGAGCACAGAGATTAACTCTTTATGGTCTGGAAGCTCATCTCTCTTCCTTTCTTGTTAGTGCAGCCTACCTACACACCACAAAAAAACAAACAGATAATTCCAAGGGTGAGACGCTCTGCAGACAGGACACCTGGTGCTGTTCCAGCAAGGCAAAGGCATCATGGCTAGGGGGAGGAGAGGGACGGCCTGCCTCGGATTAGAGAGACCTAGGGGAAACGATGTGGCAACCGATGTTGCAGGCCAATGCGAAGACCTTGTTGGGACCCCAGCTGGAACTAGCCCACTACCCCACCAGAAATTTGGGAAGTTGGGGGAATCTGAATAAGGGCTGGATAGTAAATGATACCATGAAATCATTGTTCATTTGATTAGGTGTGATAATGGTCTTTGTTATTTAAGATAATGTCCACACAGAGATGCACACTAAAGTGAACAGTTGTGAAATGACCTGATGCTCCGGGTGTGCTTGAGAAAATGAAAATGTGGGAGGATAGAGCAGAGGAGAGGGAAAGCAAGAGAGGCAAAATCTTGATTAGTTCTAGAATCTTGGGGACAGGATTCCCCATGCCATTCTCTGTGTTTCTGTATATTTGAACATTTTCACAATGATAACCAAATTAAATGTATTAACATCCTGCTTTGTATTTATCAAAGACTTCCACAGTGGATCACTAATACCTCTGATCAACACAATGCAGGATCATTTTAGCTGACCTCACCCTAGAAACATTTCTTTTAGATTTTTGAAATAACAGAAGAAATTCTCTTATCCCCTACTAAAGCCTTTGTAAATCTCTGGGTTGGGAATTATTAACTGGTCCAGCCACTGAAATTCAAAGTAATGTGATAAAGTGTTAGTAAAAAATAGGACATATAAATACCAATTCCCTGCCTATGAAATGGGAGGCTTATACTTGCCAATTCTGGGATCACTTCCAGTGCTGACAGTGTAGACCTGAGCCCCAGACACCCACGGGGAGAAGGGAGGAATGAAAAGGGGTTGGAGGAGGCTAGCAGTCCCAATAAGGGGACTTTCTTGCCCAGGATTTATCCATCAAACCTGGAGGCCAGAAACTCCCTGCCTGCCTGGGCCCACCTCACTCACCATCCCGAAGAAGCCAGGCCTGTCTTCAGGCACGTGCAGTTCTGGATACACGTTCTCCAAGAACCACCTGAAGTCCTTACACTGGAGCTTTTCACGGAGCTGCCTCCGCTCTGTCACATCCCCAAATGGTTCCTGAGAAAACAAAAAAGCAGTGAGTCCCTGCAGGTGTTGGTGTTGTCTATCAAGCCCCTTTCTCCACTGGTGCTCACTCTCTCAGTAAGCACCTACTGTGTGCCAGGACCTGAGGATAATGACCTGCCTCTGACACAGCTGTCGCACAATTACATTCCCAGGTGCTGCTGAGGCAGGGAGGTGCGGCCAAGCACAGGAGAGAAGGACACAAAACCCTGTTGATGGAATCGGCTTCCTGGACCCATGTGTTCTCGATGAACATGGGATCACAGACCAGCAAGAACATCAGCAGCCCACAGTATGCCATGACAGTCTCTGGTTTACTGATACCTGAATATTCTTTTCAAACATGGGTAAGTAGTCTAGATGCAATCATGAATGAAAACCTTCATATGTGCTCAATATATTGAAGACCAAATAAACACTTATGATGGTAAGAGCAAAATGCTGCAATAATAAATACTTGTGGAAGTTTAGTTTTCTAAACAAAACCAGTGATTAAGAAAGCTTGACTCATTAAATGATCAGGCATCTATTTAGCACAGTAGACGTGCAGCCACAAGAGCAACGCTGAGGGTGCAGGTTTTGCTGTCCCTGCACCATGATGTCAAACTTCTATGATCTGACAAGCTAGATATTTAACAAAATGGTAATGGTGGAAAATGTTTCAGTCAAATTTCAGATTTGTTTCCCACAAGTCTGTGGTTTGATGAGGGTCACTGAGCCCCCATCTTCAACCAAACACTCATTTTAACGCCCAGCCACTGCACTCAGACACAAGGTGTACACGGGCCCCTTTAACATGTTATTCTTGGGGAATCCTCAGGAAGAGGGAACTGTGGCTTCCAGACTGGGTGACTGGAAAGAGCAGATGTTTCTACCTGCAAGACAAAGGAAGCAATGACCCTGGGGTCCTGAGGCAGACATGGGCCAAGGGAGAGGTCAGGGCAAGGGTCCACAGGGCTCTGCGGGGCAGAGAGAAGTCCACTGGAGTGTACACTCTCCAGGCCCAGTTCTACCCACATCGTCAGCTAGGCTATGGGCAAGAGGCCTTAAATCACCCTCCCTCTGAGCCTGAGTTCTCTCATCTATGAAATGAGAACTTCACAGCTACCCTGAAGGCCTACTCTATATTCAGAAGAAGAAGTTTTCACCAGGTGGCCAGGAACATGGTCTTGAGCTGACCTTCTTGTCTTGCCAAGCAGCCGTCTTGAGTTATGCAGATGCGGGGTAAGTGGGCGACTGCCCTAGGGCGTGCAGAGCTGCCTAGGCAGAGGCAGTGAAGCCATTTGCTGAACGTGATCTGCAACACTATAATCAACACTTGTGTTTTCATAGTCACGCACAGACATGCACAGAGCAGCAAAAAATCTGTCACCCAACATGCACATCCCCAGCCAGGACCATGTTTCAGCTCTCATGCTATAAACAAGTGACCGATTCACAGTCTGCTTAGTGCCATATTGTGGATAAAATGAAAGTTCCTGTGGCCAGGAGTCTCACCTGGCCCTGGTTGGCTAGCTCACTACACATGTGTGGGCAATACGTTGCTACTGACTCTATATAAAGAGCTCCACCCAGTGCTCTGCACATGACATGGTGGCACGGCTGCAGGAGAGCAGAGCAGAGGCTGAGGTGGTGGCAGTGCCCAGCACAGAGGCCCAGAAGACAGCCGTGTGGGACTGCTGTGCGGACAGAGGCCCAGAGGGAGGCTGTGAGGGCAGAGAGGCCCAGAGGCAGAGACTGGCTTGCTGCACGCAGATTCGCTCTGAGTGAACAGGTTTTTAGTGACTGACCTGCCACGGTGGAATATATAAAGTTGGGTATAACCCTTTCACACCAAGAACATTTTACTGCCATTTCTTTGGTCACATTGAATCCATAGTGAACTTGCCTGGGGCTGAAACCCACTAGCAAGACACATATTTTTTCATATTTTCCTGGAAATGTTTTGGCTACTTCACGGTTTAATATGGGCCCAACCACAGTGCTGAAGAGCTATCTAGTGTTCTACAGGGCAAAAAGCCTGCGTGGCACCTCATGGAGAAAATACATGTGTTAGATAAGCTTTGTTCAGGCATGAACACTATTCAGTGCTGTTGGCTGTGAGTTCAACACCATGAATCAACAATATATATTAAATAAAGTATCTTTCAACGACATACATGTAAAATCAACTTATGTATTGATCAGTTGACAAAAACATCATCTTGTCAAGAGGCTCACAGGAACCTAGGAGCAATGGTTCAGTAGTCCCGAATTCAGGATTTGTGATGACTGTGTAGAACATAACTACTGTGAATAATGAGAATCATCTCTATAAGTGAAGAAATAAAGTTTCCCCATGCCTGTATCATAAGTGCCCAATTTACTCTCTATTCCTGGAAGTAGGGAGGCCAGAATGAGCTGCTTTTTCTTTTGTTTGGGTGAGGCCAGACGGCATGCAGGTGGGCCCTGGGGAACTCACCAAGCGGGCGTGAGGGTTGCGATGGTAGTAAAGTTCTTTAAACTCATCCATCCACACTTCAGCTGCACGGACACTGTTAGCCAGGGCCTTGCTGCGCGAGTAGGGAGCTTGCTTGGGGAAAACGTGGCCAACGTGAGAACATGGGTGTGTCTCCAGGGTCCCACCACACTGCCAGATCTGTAGAGAGAACAGGGAGGAGGCTGCGTGGGTGAGCAGGCAGTGAGCTGTTGGTCCACAATGGCTGCAGCGAGGAGGCTGGGCACACAGAAGTCATGATGAACACTGCCAGGCCCTCACCCTCCATGGGGCAGGAGGCCACACTGCCCCAGCACACTCAGGACACAGAATGCAGTCAAAGAGCAAGAAAGCAGCCCCAAAGACAAATGAGCCATCAGAACCAAGACTGCAAAGTCCATGCACCAAAGCCCATGCACTTGACGCAGAAGAACGCCCACAGCTGAACTCACGGGAACCCATTTACCCATGTAGAACACAGGCTCATTACCTGATCTCCTAGCCACAGAAGATAGGAAAGCAGCAAGTAAGAAGAGAGGTTTGGAAGGGAGAAAGGAAGAGCTTCTAGAGGCAGGCAAGGCAGCCTGACACCTAGGGAAGAGGCAGAAAGACATTACAGCACACCCTAAAAATTCAATGGGCTGAGTCACTTGAGGCCATTTCAGCTGGGGTTAACCGCTCCTGAATACCCACTGTCCCCAGCATGTACAACTAAGGACAGTATCTGGTACTTATAATGGGGGGTGTGAGTCCTCAGCGGAAGCCCAAATTCTTGTTTATTAACTCTCATTAAGCAAGAAACCATATATAACATTATTAAGATTTTAAAACTTCTATTGAAAAGCACAAATATTGACATAAAGTCTTGATACTTTAAAATGCAAGATTCAGTTCATTGGAAAACTCACGAAATGCTAGGAGATTCTCAAAGGGGCATCTGTGGGTCATGTACAGCAGAATCACTAGGTGAGCTTGGTACAAAAAGTAGATTTCTGGTCCTGACAGTGAATCTACCAAATCTGACTTTCTGGAGACTGTGCCTATAAATCTGCCTTGTTAACAAGTTTCCTCAACAATTCTTAGGTGTGACCGCTTCTGAAAGTCGCTGTGCTCAATGGGCTACTTAATAAGTAGTTAAGTAAGTCAAGGTTCCAAAGGGTGGGTCAGGAGGCCTGTGTTTCAGCCCACTTTCTGCCACTCATTCTCTGAGTGACCTTGAGCAAATCACTCCCCCCCTCTGGGCCTCAGTTTCCTCTGCTGTCATGAGAAAAAAGAACTAGGTGTCTTGTAAGGCCCTTCCCTGCCCCAAATCTGTTAAAAGCACATTTTTCAGAAGTTCAAATAAGAAGGCAAGCATGTTTATAAGATGCATGTGCCATTATCACCTTTCAGGATTGTTGGATAAACCACCAGTATGGAGGAAAAGTCCACCAGGCTCTCAGCAAATCCCATCATTCCCAAAGGGAGGGAGAGAGAGAGAGAACAGGATAAGAATGAGTCCAAAGAGAAGCCTGGAATACTTACCCTAAAGGAGAATTCGAGGTTTTCTCCACCCCAGACTTCCATTCCTGTATCATATGACCCCAGATATTCAAAATATTTCTTACTCACAGCAAACAGCCCACCAGCCATTGTTGGAGACCTAGAAGAGTGTGATGTCCACATTTCAATGTAAGCAGCAGGAAGCCCTCACAGTTAGCTAAACTCCCTTCCTGCCATGAGCCTTTAGTCCACTCATCCATCCCTAAGCAGACCCTGAGCTCACGCTGTGCCCCAGGCTAAGTTAGGCCTGGAGGCATAGACGTGCCCATGGTCCCTGTCCTGGGGAAGCTTAAGGCAAGCATAGAGCCTGTGTGTGATAACTAAGGTCAAGCCAGGGCCTTAGTGGAACACAGAAGAGGGTACAGGGCAGGCAGGTAGGGCCCATTTTCCAGGAGGTGAGGCCTGCAGAACCAAGGGGAATTAGCTGAGAGGAGGAATGGAATGGCTCTCCAAGAAGACAGCAGCATGAGCAAAGGCCTACAGGTGAGAGAAACCCTTGTGCTTTTGGAAACATAGACAGTAAAGACAGCCAGGGAGAGTGACCAGGTTCCCTGAGAGGATGGCAAGCATCAGGCTGTGCTGGCCTTGGTTACACAGTCATTGGGGGCACCCAGATGCCCTTTGGAGGCTGGCAAGGAGATCACAAAAGCAACTCTGGCATCTCGTAGCTTGTTCCCCAAGGCCCGTGTCTCCCCTGCTCGAGTGTCTCCCTCCAGGTCCCAGCCAGACAGCTCTGGCCTGCTTCCTCAGCCAGCTTGCTCTCTCCCCGCCTGCTTCCTCTAGAAGCCAGCACTGGTTTCAGAAACTACTCAAGACTTTCATCCAACACAGCAGGAAGCTGTAAGGTCAACACATCACAGAGGTGCCGAGGCAAATGAATAAATTTAGAAATGGGGAAATACAGAACATTAAGAGTCTAACAGTTTAAAAATTTAAGGTCCTCTAGCAGTGCTTCTGGGTCTTGGCTAAGTATTGGCTTCCTGTGTACTCCAAGCTCTGGGCCAACAACAAAAAGCATGATTCCTTGTGGAAGGGGCTTTGAGACAACAAAGCACTTTCACGTGTGATCATCCTGAAAGTCTAGGAGACAGGCAGGGTGGGCATGCTTGACCTGCTTCACAGGTGGGGAAGCTGAGGCCCAGGACACTACAGGAGGGGAAGGACAGCTGGCCATGGGGGCCCAGAGCACGTGTTTGTGTGTGTGTGTGTGGGGAAGGTGTGGGCGGAGGCAATGGGGGTTCAAAGCAGCATCACAGGCTGGACTTGTAACCCCTGATAACATCCTTCCTCCTCTGTGCCTCAGGTTCTGAACCTGATCAGTGGGGCTTCGACAGGATGCTCTCTTGGGGCTCCTGCAGAAGCCTGGGTGTCATCCTCAAGTGCTCCTCTCCCCGTTCCCATCCGATTTCTCCCCGTTCTTCCATGACATCATCTCTGGAGTCCACCATTATTTCTGACCTGGAAGACCATAACACCTCCTACTGTTGTCCCAACCCGCAGCTCTGTCCCCTCCAGGACCCTCACCAGGTGGCCTCTAGCAGAGTCTTTAAAGAACACAACAGGCAAAGGTCACCTCCAGCTCAAATCCCTTCAGTGGCTTCTACCCTCTCAGAGTAAACCCCAAACCCCTTTCTCAGCCTTCGAGGCTGGCCGTGACTCGGCCCCAGTCATCGCTCCAGCCCCATCTCTCAGCAACGTCTCCACACTCACTCCACTTGGCCAGCACTGGGTCATCTCAAGGTCGGAACTCCAAGGAAGGATTCGGAAGCCCAAGGGCCAAACACTGCAGACCTAAGACACCACTTCAGGCTCAGTACACCAGCGTTCAAGCTGAAGTCTGACCTCCATTAGCCTGACTCCTATGTCTGTTTCCCATTTTGTTCTCAACTTTGAAGGGAAGGAAGAAGCCAGACTGCTACTACAATACCTCAAGAACAAGAGCAACTGAGTCCCCCTTGAGCCTGCTCTGTTCAGACCCAGGCTCACCCACTGGCCAAAGCTGGTACCTCCACCCCCAGGTCCACTCACCCTCCAGTTCAATAGGGGCCTCAGAGTGCATCTTCAAAATGTTAAACAGAGAATTACCACATGACCCAGCAATTCCACTCCTAGGTAACCACCTCAAAGAACTGAAACAGGGACCCAAACAGAGAACAGTACACCGACACTCACAGCACCATTATTTACAGTAACCAAATGGTGGGAACAATCCAAGTGTCCATCAACAGATGAATGGGAAAAATGTATGTGCCATGGAGTACACTCGGCCATAGAAAGGAATGAGGCTCTGGAGGAACCCCAGCTACCTCACACTGCGTGAAAGAAGCCAGAGACAAAGGGACAAATACTGTGTCAGTCCACTATTGTATGAGGCAGCTGACAGGGAAATTCACAGAGACAGAAAGTAGAACAGAAGTTACTAGAGGCTGGAGGAAGGGAGGAAGGCAGTCATTGCTTAATGGCTACAGAGTTCCTATATAGGATGATGAAAAAGTTCTGGAAATATGCAGAAGTGATGGTTATACAAGATTGTGAATGTGCTGGATGCCACTGAATTGTACACTGAAAAATGGTTGAAATGGTAAATTTTATGTTACGCATATTTTATCACAACTTATAAAAAAAAGTAAAATATCCCAATATAAAATACATGTGTATAGAAAAAATTTTTAATAAAAAGGTAAACTGTCTGTAGGAGGGGAGGTGGTGGGGTGAGGGGTGGGGAGTGTTGCTAACCATCCCTCCCAGGGGCCTTTGCTAGTATGTTAGCCAGACACAGCGAGGCACACTGAAAGACAGTGTCACCTAGAAGTCACCCCCTGACCTGATGACATCGATGGGGGACCGCATCTGCATCCTCTCCCTCTTGGGGACCACGTGCCATGTGAACACCAGCCTCCAGTCAAAACCGCCGATCTGGGGCTCCCCAGAGTTGCCCAGGTACTCGAAGGTGTTCCAGTCGATCACATCAATCACAGGGCACACCACTGCCGACTCCTTTTCATGGATCCTGCAAATACCCAGGACACCCCGTCTGTCCATGTGGACAGGCAGCAGGAGGACAAATAGAAACTCGGGAGTGACCTCTCCTCACCCACCCACCAGGAAGGACGACCCCTGTGTGAGAGAGGCCCACGGCTCCCTTTCCCGGCAGCTGCAGCTACCTCAGGCCAGGCAGGTGACCATCACTGCAAGGCTTGGGTGAGGGTGGAGGTGGAGAAAGGAAGGATTCCAGCTTAATAGAAAAAGTCCCACAGCTTTAATATTCTATGATGTTTTGGATAAACTTGAATCCCTCAATAAAAGTCAAGACATAAAAATGATAGGTGACCTTTACAACAGAAAACGGATTTTCAGTTTCTCAAGATTGCAAGAGGTCTCTTCATTTAATCACCATGAAACAACTTGAAGTCAAGAAACAAGTACCTCCCCATGAACAGAGACACACCCAAACCAAAGGGTTCAGCTTTGGAGTTAGAATATACATTC